TTGTTGTTGTTGTTGTTGTTGTTGTTGTTGTTGTGTTTTGTTGTTGTTGTGTTGTTGTTGTTGTTGGTGTTGTTTGTTGTTGTTGTTGTTGTGGTGTTGTTGTTGTTGTTGTTGTTTGTTTGTTTGTGTGTATGTTGTTGTTTGTTTGTTGTTGTTGTTTGTTTGTTTGTTGTTGTTTGTTGTGTTTGTTTGTGTTGTTTGTTGTGTTTGTGTGTTGTTGTTGTTGTTGTTGATGATTGTTGTTGCTTGTTGTTGTTGTTGTTGTTTGTTGTTGATGTTGTTGTTGTTGTTGTTGTTGTTGTTGTTGTTGTTGTTGTTGTTGTTGTTGTTGTTGTTGTTGTTGTTGTTGTTGTTGTTGTTGTTGTTGTTGTTGTTGTTGTTGTTGTTGTTGTTGTTGTTGTTGTTGTTGCTTGTTGTTGTTGTTGTTGTTGTTGTTGTTGTTGTTGTTGTTGTTGTTGTTGTTGTTGTTGTTGTTGTTGTTGTTGTTGTTGTTGTTGTTGTTGTTGTTGTTGTTGTTGTTGTTGTTGTTGTTGTTGTTGTTGTTGTTGTTGTTGTTGTTGTTGTTGTTGTTGTTGTTGTTGTTGTTGTTGTTGTTGTTGTTGTTGTTGTTGTTGTTGTTGTTGTTGTTGTTGTTGTTGTTGTTGTTGTTGTTGTTGTTGTTGTTGTTGTTGTTGTTGTTGTTGTTGTTGTTGTTGTTGTTGTTGTTGTTGTTGTTGTTGTTGTTGTTGTTGTTGTTGTTGTTGTTGTTGTTGTTGTTGTTGTTGTGTTGTTGGTTGTGGTTGTGGCTGTGGTTGTGGTTGTGGTTGTGGTTGTGGTTGTGGTTGTGTTGTTGTTGTTGTTGTTGTTGTTGTTGTTGTTGTTGTTGTTGTTGTTGTTGTTGTTGTTGTTGATGTTGTTGTTGTTGTTGTTGTTGTTGTTGTTGTTGTTGTTGTTGTTGTTGTTGTTGTTGTTGTTGTTGTCGTTGTCGTTGTCGTTGTCGTGGTTGTGGTTGTCATTGTGGTTTTGGCTTTGGCTTTGGTTGTGGTTGTTGAGGTCGGTTGTTGAGGTCGGTGTTGTTTGTTTGTCTTTGCGCGTGTGTGTTTTGTGTGTGTGTGTGTGTGCGTGTGCTTTACTGTCCGTATGTGTGCTTGTGTGTCTTTGTGCGCTGTGGGTATGTCAGCTTCGTGTGTCATCCCTGTCTTTTGAGGTTCATTTGTTCGCGTGTTTGTGGTTTGTGCGGACTCCGAGACACAACCATTATCCAACCCAGGTATTGGCGGCCGGTAGCCACCGATCCTGCGCAGCTGGGCTCATCCCTGGTCTTGGGCCTTTTTGGTGCCATGGCAAAGTGTCCGGCATATACAGCTGGGCCCCTCAAAGTAAGCATAGTCACAATATTTTTGGGAGTGGTTTCCCATGAAACCGCCATTTAGATTGCAAAATGGAGGATGCCATTTTAACGCAACGACAGAAACCAGTTGGCCCTTTGTCCAATAATCAGAAATGCGTGGCTTACCATGATTTGGCAGGCCTCGGGGGCACTTGTAGTTGCATGCTAGTGACATGTTGTGGTCATCAGGCAGCAAAAGTTCCTCCGCCTTTGCTTGGACCTTCTGTGTGATGAATTCTTCCCATGACCGCGGAGTCCAAGGCTGGCACGCCTCACTTTTGACGGAGATCGCTTGGTCCCTTGAGCGCTTCCTTGGGGTGGAGCTGAAGAAGCTTTTCTACGGCGTGGGAAGCTCAGTGTGGAGGGATTTCTGTGCCTGTAACACGTGTGGGAGGAAATTGGAGGCTATGGTTTCATGCCACCTCAATACTCCAGTCATCGCTTGTACACATGACCTTTTTCGAAAAACCCATGGACTCAGGCCTACTACCCAGAGCCCATGCTTGAGAAGCTACAAGAGGTGGCGGAGGAGGGTTTCATGGCGAAGCCCATCGCCAAGTTCTATCGGACATGGATCACAGGCGTGCCTGTCAACACAAGCCTTCGGTGGTGCACTTTGTTGTTCCTTTTGTTGGAGGGGAGCTCCCTTTAAAACCGACTTTCAAAAACAGAGTGTCAAAACTTATTCATGTTGAGGTTCATGGACAAGAATTAAATTCGGGGCAAACACACAGGTAGGAATGATGCCCTCTTCAGGATGGGAAGGCAGCCGCAGGACGTTCATGGGAACTAACTTTGCTGGGCAAAGAAGGTCATATTACGAGCGGTGTCCAAAACCTCTATGTACATGTTTAGTAAGAGTTGTGTCATATCGACCTGTGTAAGCAAAACACGTAAGGTGGCGCAAGCTGGTGACGTAAGCAACACCCACGTACGGAAAAACTCCTCGCGCGTAAGGTGGCGTAAACTGGTGGCGTAAGCTAAACTTCGACCCGTGCCACGTAAGGAAAAACTCCACGCGCGCAAGGTGGCGTAAGCTGGTGGCGCAAGCTAAACCTCCACGTGCGTCGCGTGAGGAAAAACTCCAGCACGTGCAAGGTGGCGTAAGCCACTGGCGTAATGATACGACATGGCAAGTCATGACGCGTCTAGGACATGGGCTCCTATGTGTGAACAATTTAAGCATGGCAGTGTTGGCAGTCGGCTCCTAGGTTCAGGCTGACGCCTCTGCAATTAAAACGTATACAGGGATGTGGGTCTATCTGAGGCTCCCCATAGTTTAAAGGACTTCCAGAAAGGCTTTCAAGAAGAACCACCATTTCTAGGGTCCCTTTTTGCTTGCCGCATTGCCCACATTATGCCCAATGCGCTCTTGGAATATTCCATTTGCGGTGTGTTTCAGCACATCGGCACAGGCTTCCTGGACACATACGACGCCTGGGTGAATGACAACTCGGTGAAGGATCGTGCTCCAAGGGAGCTTCAACGGCTCACTATCAATCTTAGAATAGCGTTTGATTGACTTGTGCAGAAAGGTAACCGTTGACATTCGTGGACAGGCTTGAGGCTCAAGGGATGAAGGCGGTTTAAGAATAGGAATTCCCCTTCAACCAACAACGGTCGTGTCCAAAACATGATATCACCAGCCCAGGCCTGTGGCCAAAATGGATTGTGTCGAGCAATATCCAGAACATGATCGCACTATTCTTACCGGAGCAACATTCAGGAACTGTGAGATATCTTGTGCCATCTACTGTCATCCTGCATTGATAAAGTTATGCAAACTTCTGGGAAACTACAAACTCGGACTCAACAGGTTGTTTCTCAAGACTGTCCAATAGACAGACGTATTGGCATGTACCCATGTAGAAGAATGGTTCTGGCCGAGCTGCCACTTTGACAGTGAAGTTGCGAAGCCCCTAGCTCTCAAGCCATTTCAAGCCATTCCTTGTCATCCTGTTGCGGCAGTTATCACAGGGTGGCACGCCTCAGGAGGGACTGGGCATCCTGGCGGACTTGTACCTGCAAGCCTTGGGCCAGCAAAACTTTGATGCGACAATCTGCGTAACCCCACTCTGGTTTTGCGAAGCTCGCCAGCAGTTTGGATTGGAGGGCGGGCTGGCTGTAAGGATTGTAAGGCGCGGGCCAAGCACAGCCCAGAGCACATGGATTGTCAATCACTCTCCCTCTCTCTCGGTCAGTCTCCATGGTTTCAGGCACACCCGATGGATTCACAACCAAGTGAATTTCTGAAGCATTTCAGACAATGCCTTCGCAGATTGTCTAAATCACACAGCAATCATCGCAGTATTGCCATGAGAATTGTCAAAGTACTTGGCTCTCAGAGCCTTCGTGCGATAGCATCTCCTTTGGGTGGCCATGAGATTCTTCAGTTACGAGTACCATGAAACACTACTTATTTGCAGAGGTATTGGTCAAGCTACTAGAGCAAATGCAACCATTGTTCTGTTTGCAAAAGGAACTTGTATGTAATGCCCCTGACCCCTTGGCTTGATGAAAGTCTACATGTTGGATGTCTTGAACCAACGATGTCCGGTTTTGGTGAGGCAACCGATTGCTCCCGGAGAGCAAGGGAATGGGGTAGTTGGCGGGTCCTGAGTAGTCAGGTTTTGCTGTTTTTTCCACCCCTCTCACAAGGTCATTTTGACGGTTATCCGGTTAACTGGATGAGTTGTCCACCTTAAGCATGCATCCCAAAACGTGGAACCCACGGAAGGGTTTTTTAGTGGCGCCGCCGCAGGCGCCGCTAGCCGCAGTGCTGGGCAGAGGTAGCCGGCTGCTGGTCTACTTCGACGACCTGCCGGACCAGCTGCCGCCGCAGGCGAGCGATCCCTCTGGCTATGCATTTGTGGCATGTGAGCAGCGCCCAAAACCACACAGGGCAAGCTTAGGAAAGGGCACTACGTTGGCTTAGCCGGGAGAGTGAGCTTTGCAATCGGGTTGGTAGAACCAAGAAAAATGAGTCTTGGGCGCTGCTCAGGTTTCTGTTTTCCCTATACAAAGCGCCGATGAGCAAATTGCCCTTGCCAGGATAGGCATCAAATGACCCCAGCAATTGCCCGCTTAAATTTGACAGCCATTGAGAGGTCCTGGTATGTGCCCTGTTTCTCTTTTGTCTGTGTGAGTGGTTGAGTGTTTAGGTGTTTCTGTGTGCTTCTGTGTGCTTCTGTGTGTTTCTGTGTGTTTCTGTGCGTTTCTGTGCGTTTCTGTGCGTTTCTGTGCGTTTCTGTGCGTTTGTGTGTGTGTGTGTGCGTTTGTTGGTTGGTTGGTTGGTTGGTTGGTTGGTTGGTTGGTTGGTTGGTTGGTGGGTGGGTGGGTGGGTGGGTGGGTGGGTGGGTGGGTGGGTGGGTGGGTGGGTGGGTGGGTGGGTGGGTGGGTGTGTGTCTCTGTGCGTGTCTCTCTGTGTGTGTCTTTCTGTGTGTGTGTCTGTCTCTCTCTCTGTGTTTGTGTGTGTGTGTGTTTGCGCGTTTGTCAGTTTGTGTGTTTGTGCGTTTGTGTGTTGGTGCGTTTGTGTGTTTGTGCGTTTGCGTGTTTGTGTGTTTGTGTGTTTGTGTGTTTGTCTGTTTGTTCGTTTGCGTGTTTGTGTGTTTCTGTGTTTCTGTGTTTCTGC